CTCCAAAGCACCCAACTTTCTTTGCTCTCTTTCTTTCGTACCGAACTACTACTACTTTTTTTTTTTTTTTTTGTCACCAAAAAAAAAATTGAAGTAAAGTAAACCTCAAAAACTCCTCAAAACCTAACCTGAGGTGTGGCAATGACCTTTATACATCATACATTTAAATCTACTGGTCCCCCTCTTAACTTTTTTTTTTTAAATAAGATTATTGCAAAAATTTTACTTTTTTACACATTTTTTTAATACATGTTACATATTTATGTGATAGATGTTATGTAATCTTCTAATAAAGTTATAATAATTTGTGATTCAAAAATAAAATTATACAGCTTTGTGATAATATTACACATTTTTTCATCAAAACATCTTTAAGTCACAAAAAAAAAAATGTAATATTATTACAAAAATACATAATTTCATTTTTAAATCGCAAATTGTCACAAGTTTACTAGAAAGTTACCTAACATTTGTCAAAAAATACGTAACATAAATCATAAAAATGCGTAATAAGATATATATATATACCAAATAATAGAGTTACTCAAAAAAAAATATTCAGAATTTTATACAAAAAATAACGAGCAATATTCTAAATTCATTTAAATTTTAAATTTTACTATACAAAAATTGAAAAAGATAGTACACAATTTTTTTTTGGACAACATTCTTTACTGTCTAAAATTACTATTCTAGTCTTACTTTTGGAAAAACATGTTTCTTCATTGCTAATTCAGTTTATTTGTAACAACAAGATCACCCATTTGCTTTATAGCAAATGATTCAACATAGTCAGAAAGCTACACTTCTAAAAGAATCCATAATCTCAAAGTACAAAAAGCATAAGCACATCAAAGAAGAAGAAGAAGAAAAAAGAAAAAAAAAAAACTTTTATGCTGTGTTTGGTTTGGAGATTTGGAAAGAGAAAGAGAAAAGAAAAAGGCGTGTGAAATTAGGTAAAATATAGGCATGTTTTATTCACATTTCACTTATCTTTTTTATTTCCTTTTCTAAATCTCTCCTCAAATCCTTCAATTAAACACAGCATTAGAGAGAGAGAGAGAGAGAGAGAGTCCATGGCCTTGCTAAAATTCTAGCCAGCTTTTGTGTACTGGACTGGACCTGGTCTGCTGAGTCACTTGTGAGACTCTTTTCTTTCCATTTGTCCTTTTCATTTTCTCTTTCGACAATGATAGGTAGCTCAAATTTTTGTGGCTCAAATGGCTCAAATCTGTCAAAACGATATCGTTTTGACAGATTTTGAGTGTAAAACGACGTCGTTTTGACAGATTTGAGCCATTTGAGCCACAAAAATTTGAACTACCAAACATTTTCCTTTCTCTTTTTAATTAAGCAACCCTTTCTTAACACATATTGGCCCATTTCAAGAATATAAATTAAAAGTCAAAAGTTAACTTTTAATTTATTTTGGATCATATTAATTTCACATGAAATAATAAAAAAATTTAAACATTTAATTTTTAACCATCTTTTCAAAATACCTCATTATAAAAAAAAGTAAAATTGCAATTAATGAGAAGGATGATTTTAAAAATGACATGTCAATGTTACCTTATTGGATGGGTGATTGTCGTCACTCGGTACAATTATTATAGTTGTGTGATTGACACTACAATAAAGATAGTCACAATTATCATTATATGACGTTGGTAATGGCTAATTTGCATCATATGTGAGATTATATTTTTCACGAATAGCTAATTTTTTCTTTACTTCATAAAATAATTTTTGTATTATTATTTTTTAAATTTTTTTTTGTTGATTAACAATTTACATATTCATTCATTGGATTGTATACTAATTTCACAAGTTTGTTAAATCTCTCCATTACGTAGTTGGAATGGAAAATCTCCATTATTTATTCAATGACTATAAAATAGGCGGGTAAATTCATCATTATTCAATTTTTTGAAACTATTGGGCTTGACCCAAGTTTAAATCTTTTTAGGCTAAAAAGACATTATTTGTCTAAAATAACATGCTATCTATTCAAAACTTAATTACTGACCTATTTGATCAAATGTCACATATATCTACTTGTCAAAGTATTTATTCACATGTCACTTATCTATTTATCTATTTATTCAATATCACTTATTTGTTTAACTCATTGCCACTAGTTGCCGCTGCTGACTTTCCAACGATTTTTCAACTTGTGTCCTTCTCATCAAATAAATAAAAAAAAATCATTATACTTATTAAAGTGGCTTTTTTACAACCGTTCTATGATATAATAGAAATTTTCTATTACAACATACTCATATAATGGGGAGTATCTCAATCTGAGTTTGTTGATGCAAAAATGGATTTGTTCTACCGGCAATGGAAAGAGTCAACTCTACGCACTTGCATGGGCACCAGACAATTACCTTTGAATTTATCTACTATTCAACCTTATTTTATAATAACATTGATTAATGTTGGAACAAGACAACTAAATACATAATAGGACATATCCTATGTGAAACATATGAATAGGGCACATCTTATGTGAAATATATGTTTCTCATTTTATGTTTGGTGTTTATATTTCTATACTTGCGAATTAAGTAAGACTCCATCAGAATTTATTCATTACAAGGCTTTTATTGTAACATTAACTCTACCGCACCGAGCCAAATTGAGGTATCTCTCTGCCTATAAGCATTTTTTTTTTTTTATTTTTTTTTTTTGATCATGGATTTTACTAATAAGTGTCTATGCGACATAAGAAATAATAATAAATAAAATATTCAAAACAGGTTTTATTAATTTTTTTTTGTTAATTTTAAAAAAAAATTGTTAATATGTGTTCTTAATAAGAGGCTTAAAATTTTTTACATTATGCGTGAAAATGAGTGTAATAAAAAATCCATAATCTTTTTTATAATGTAAATGAGTGTAATAAAAAAATGCATAATCTTTCTAGCATACATGTTAAGAGGCTAAAAAAAATTAGCATATTCTTAAGCTTCTTAACATGATCTTAAGAGCATACATTGACAAAATCAAGAAAAAGGGTTTGTTTAAGAAGTGGGTTGGATTTTTAGTTTTTTTTGGCTATTTTGACTCAATTTGGCAACAAGCTAAAAAAGTCAGCTTTTTGGCTTTTTTTTTTGAAACCCTCCTTTTTAGCCAAAAAGTCAAAAAGTTACTAAATTAGCCAAAAAGCCAACAACCCATATCAAAAAGTCAAAGATTCTCTTTTATCTCTACTTTTTACACATCTTTTCGTAAAAAGCCAAAAAGTCATCCCAAACATACTAGTTTTTTTTAGCTCATATTTTAGCCAAATAGCCAAAAAGTTACTAAATTAGCCTGTTCCCAAACGATGCCAGTCAAAAAAGTCAGTTTTTTACCAACTTTCCAAAACACTCCTTTAGCCTGGGGCTAAAAAGTCTCGTTTGGGAAGGACTTTTTGACTTATTTAACTTTTTGTGAGAGAAAGAATATAATGATTATGAATTTTATTTTATTTTTTTGATCAGTAAAGAAAATCTTTATTGATGATGAAACCATACATTACATATGAGAATACATCAATAAGGATGAGAAAGAAAAAGGGAGAAAAAGGAAAACCAAGCATAATGTTGGTGAGAAACCAACACTAGCTCATAGGACCACAAACACTAGATTTCACCACCCAAAAACTATCTTAACTGCTTGTTGCCACCACCCAAATGTGATGTTTTATCTTATTAGGTTAAAAAACCTATTTTATCTTTTTGTGACTAAAATAGTCCCAAACCCACGTAATCCATTCTTCCCAAACGAAGCCAAAATGATTTTATCGATTTTATAAACAATTGCACTTTGCAATACAAGAAAGAAAAAAATATATTTGAAAACATTTTTCACTAATTTAAAAAATATATATTATTAATGTGTGTTCTTTATGAAATATGTTAAGAGGTTAAATAAAAAAATAAAAAAAATAAAAAAAAAGAAGGAAATTTACTCAGAAGTCTCATCCCAGAAAAAGTATATACCAAAAAGTCCCTTGAATTTTCTTATAGGCTATTAAATCCTATTGAATTTGAAAGTGTACACTGTGATATCCTTTCACTATTTTTTTTTGGAGATTCCAAATGTGAATAGGTTTCAATTGTACACTATTGTCTTATTAAATTTTTGTCAAATGCATTATATTTAAAATATGATAATGTGATATTTGTGCATTATTGTCTTGTTAAACTTTTGCCAAATATATTATTTTTAAAATATGACAATGTGAGATTATTCTATGTATACACTATTGTCTTATTAAACTTTTGTCAAGTGTTTCATTCTTCTTAAAATGTGACAATAAAATATTAGTATACTATTACCTTATTAACTTTTTATCAAGTATATCATTTTTAGAATGTGATAATGGGATATAATTCTAACGTGTATTAAACTTTTTTCTAAATGTGCCGTTCTTTTCAAAATGTGATAATGAGATATTTGTGCACTATTGTTTTATCGCGTTTCCAAATGTAAGTACACTTTATTTGAGATATTTTAATATGAAATAGGACTTATGATTCATAATAATATTTATGGGACAGAATGGTCCATAAGTCATTAAATATGATTTATTAGTAAAAATGCCCCTTAAAAAATTATACATTCTGCAAGAAAAATTTGTGTAATAAATAATATACAATCTTTTTAAGTCCCTCAACATTTGTCTTAAGGACATAGATTAACAAGATCAATTTAAAAATATTTTTCATTTTTTTCAAGACTTTTATATTTTTTTTACATATTTCAAAACATTTTTTATTACACATAAGGCAGAACATCATATTGATCCTACTAAAGATTCTATCTTTAAGTTTTTTTATTCTCTATCTTAAAACAGTTACCATTATTAAATCAAATGAGAATTTTCAAACATTAAAGCCCCTAGACTTGTTCAAAATAAATAAATAAATAAATAAAGTTTTTGGGGGAAAATCCAATGGCTGAATATTTTTAGGATAGACGATCCCATGCCCAATAAAAAGAACCCTCTTTAGCTCTAAACCAGCACCCCCATCTCTCTCTCTCTCTCTCTCTCTCTCTCTCATGCATAACAAGAACTTGCTTGTTTTGCTCAAGTCATTTAAGCTGACAAAGGCAATTTAAGTTTGGCACAGAAGTTACAGTTTGAACACCATGAACAAGCTTAACATTGTTGAAAATGGAGGAATAAAGTTGCCTCCAGGATTCAGATTCCAGCCAACAGATGAAGAGATTGTGTTTCATTACCTCACTAGTAAAAATCTTTCATGCCCTTTGCCTGCTTCACCTGTCTCTGAGATCACTGTTTGCAACTACGATCCTTGGGATTTGCCAGGTTCAATCATCATTAAATAATTCCTTATTTTATTTTATTTTATTTTTTTGAATGATACTTGTTTTTCTCTACTATGTAATTGTCACTTCTCTTGTCTCACTCATCAAAAACATTCTTCATATGAGTATTTTGAGAAGTGGGTTAAAAGTTTCTTCTTAAACTTTTAACCCATTTTATCTTTCACCAAAAAAAAAAGAAGTCAAAAAATTAAAAAAATAATAATTAAAAAGTCAACTTTTAACCATCTTACCAAATCACCCTAGAGTATTGAAACTTGGTAGTGAGAGTGAATTTAAAATGCATGTACAGATTATAGACCTTAGAACATTTTAATAGTTTAATAGCTAAATGGTTTGCTATTACTATATATTAGAGGATGTGCAATTCAGATAACTAATAATAAAAATAAAGAATAAAGAATTTAATATCCTAATATATATATTACTTAAGTGATAAATATATTCTTAATGAAACTCAAGGTCTTGGCTTCAAAATTTACTTACGCTGCGTATAATAATTTTTTTGTTTTAGCATATATGAAGTTGTCACGTGACATAAGGAGAAGAATGTTTCACTAAATTAATTTGGATCTCCACTTAATAATAGTATAGATAGATAGATTAGATTTAACAATGAATACTGATAAGATGCTATGCCATATTTTAACAATGATCTTTCAATGACCCAATTTTTTTTTTATGTTTTTTTTTGTCACAAAATGTCAAGTTGCAACGTTATGTCGTTCCTACCATAAGAGATGTAAAGACACCAAGACTAGTCAAAATTTACCTATATGTAAAACCTTGTGTTAGATTTTGCACAAGTTGCAGCAATACTAAAACATAACTGCCTACATATATAACTAGCAATTGATGCATGAAATTCTGTGTCTCTATATCTTTTTGGCTTCGTTTGGGAAGTCATGGTTTGGGCTTTTTTGGCTATTTTAGCCACAAAAAACAAAATAAGCTATTTTAGCCATAACAAACAAAACATCACATCTAACCTATAATCATTACATTCTTCTCTCACAAAAAAAACTCAAAAAAGCCAAAAAGTCAAAAAACCCTTCCCAAACCAAGCTTTTAAGCCCAGGCTAAAATAGCCAAAAAGTCAAAAAACTAACCCACTTCCCAAACGGAGGCTTTGTCTCTTATCTTGGGTTACTAACCAGTGTATCATGTGTTGAGATTATAACACCTTTAAATTTTGATAATCTAGTGGTTGTGAATAATTTGTGATAAGAAGATAGGAAGATTTGAGAATAGAGAGGATTCTTGGCCATTTATTGGCAAGCGGAATGTTGAACTTCCTGTTATATTTTAACAATAGCAACTCATATAGTTATAGTTATTGAAAAAGCTCTGACATGCATTAGAGTATCGCAAATTAATAAATATCAAAATTTTATTACTGCACATAATCAGTGGAATTTGTTTCCTATACATTAACCCTTGTATCAATTTAAATTTGTTATGATATGAGTCTTGGTTGACAACTTTCAATTTTAGCCATAGAATAGGAAACAAATTCAACCATATTTTAGCCATATATTCTATATTCGATGGTTAAAACACAAAAAATATATTCTATGTTCCCTATACTTTTAGTTTTAAAATTACTAAAATTGTATGTTCTCAAACAAGGCCCTCAATACTTCTTTGGGGTGCAGTCCATAACTTACAAAATTCATACAATTAGAGAATGTGACATTAACATATTAAAAATTTATGTCGCTTTATAAACATGCTTGTTAAAGTGATAAAACTAACACTTACATATCATTATGTATTGATTTTCTGTTTATACAATATTACTATTTTGGAATTCAAATTATTATATTCAAAGCATATATAAATGTTTTGAAATTGCGTAGGTGAGGCAGAGCAAGAGAGGTATTTCTTCACCAAAAAGGAAGCCAAGTACCAGAATGGAAACAGAACTAACAGGTCAACCAGCTGTGGGTATTGGAAGGCAACTGGCTCAGACAAAAAGATTACTTGTTCTACAAGAAAACATGTAATGGGGATGAAGAAGACACTGGTTTTCTATACTGGAAAGTCTCCAAATGGATCTAGAACTGATTGGATCATGCATGAATATAGCCTTGTCAACTTGGGAACTACAAATTGTAATGATCAACAACCCAAGAATTCAACTCAGGTGAGCTTTTAGATTAACAATGGTTGGTGCACAGAAACAGTAAATCCACAGAAAGCATATTATTTAGCTGAGATTTGTTTTTTTATGGCTCGCACTACATTTAGGATGAATTTTAACCATACAATATATTTTTTGTGTTTTTTTTTTTTATATTTTGTTTCTGTGCATTTAACATTTATGCTTAGTCATATTAGATTTTTATTGGACAGATGTGATCACACCATAATCCATAAGGTAGACTATTTATTTAGAGGTGGAATGAGAATTATGACTTGAGAGGAGTCAAATTTAATCACTCAATATTTTGTCTTGTAAGATATCGTTGGTAGTATAGTTATTTTATTAAAAAAAAAAAAAAATCAATTTTATAAGTTCAATTATTAATTATAAACTAAGTTTTTCAAAAAAGAGTGGAAAACATTCAACCTTAATAAAATACGAACAAAATAATTTTAATTTCACTTTTCAATTCAATCATATATTAATTCGACAGTCTTTTAAATCTTGAATCATCTAAGATTGGTTTAAAGTTAAATTTCATTGTGATTTTCCCTTCATTGTATTTAAGAGTTAAAACCAGTGATTTCTATGTATAAAATGACAGAGTCAAGACAACTATAAACTCCGTAGTAATTTTATTTTTCTTACTGCACAAATAATATAACTATGATATGTAAAGCATTACATTTATCATCTCTCAATAAATTTTCTAAAATGATATCTAATTGATGAAACAAGATGAATATGACATTTAAAACAGCTAAATGGGAGGAAAATTTTTTTTGTAAAGACACAAATAACATACTTGTTATTGCATAATTAATTAAAAAAAAATCTTCAAAAAAAAATAAAATAATCAACAAGGCCTACGAATGTAATCCTTGTTTTTGCAATTAGAATAACGCCCTCTAATTTTTCGAAAGGCCCAATTTTTTTGTCTCTTCAATCTTTGAAGAGTCCACCAAAAAACAAAAATAATTAAAATCCGTTTATGACCATCCTTGTCCATAGCTCACAATAATAAAATATGAATATAACATTCTATCTTAAAGGTCCTAAAAGAATTTATAAAAAAAAAAAAAAAATCTTTTCGAAAACCCAACAAAACAAAAACTCTCATCGTTCAAGTGCTTCCAATTATTGCAAGAATATTTGTAGAAGAAAATAAAATTTATTAGATAATAAATTCTACAATGTAAAAAATAAATAAATAAATATTTAAGTTAATGTTTAAAAAAAAGTCACACTTTTTTTTTTTTTTTTGAACATTATAACCAAGCTCCTTGAACATTCTTCCCTCTTGGGCCTGCGGAGGGTAATTGGGCTGGCCTGGAAGGATTCCTTCTGCTACCGTGCGTGTGCGAAAACCATTACATCCCACATGGTTTTGCGTTTGGAATTTTTAAAAATAATTTTTTTATTTTTAATTCATAATTTTTTGTTTAAGCTGAATTTTTTTAACATGCTAATCATTATTTTTCTTTTTTTGATCTAATTAACCTAGATACACTTAAAAAATACAAATTTTGAATAATATTTTTTTTATATTCATTGAATATAATAAAATATGAAAATGTAATTAATTTTTGTGTTTATTTTTGTATTCAATGAATTTTTAAAAAAATATTTGCATAAAATTTGTATTTTGTAAGTATAATTAGATTAAGTTGATCTAAAAACAAAAAATAAATAAATAATTAAAATATTTTTAAAAATTACTGAAAACAAAAAATGCAAATATTGAAAAACTTTTTTTTTTTTTTTTTTAAATCAAAACCAAATGTTATTTTGAGTATTTATAAAAAAGTAAATAGCATTTTGAACCAAGATCAATATAATTTTATTTCAACCTTCTCAAATTTTAAATAATTTTATTTTGACCCCACTTGGCACAATTTTTTAATAGCTATGTTAACTGCCCATCTTAAAAAAAAATGACTAAAATATAAAATAATAATTTATTTTTTATTTTTCTATTTTTAAAAATCAATCCAAAACATAGCCTATATTTTTATAATTTGGGCTAATTTAAAAACATTAACCTATTTTAAGTCACATTATTCCTCTATTTTTTTTATACATTTAAAAAAAAATTAACTTTTCAAAACAATCTTTGTACTCACTAATTATCTTTTCCAGAGCACTGTGGTCCAGAGAGAAAACTGGGTTCTCTGCAGAATATTTGTGAAGAAACGAAGTACAAAAGGCAATGATGAGATTGTTGTAAAAGCTCCCACAGAAAATAGAGTTGAGAATCAAGAGGTGGTTCAACCAAGATTACTCCACTATGATTTCATGATGAGAAACTTGAATCATGTAGCCCCCACCTCTTCTTGTTCTTCCTCCTCTTCAACTTGTGATTCCAGAATTCTCACTGAGGAGGTCACTTCCATTGGGTTTGATCATCATCAACAAACCAGCAACAATGGTCAATGGTATTGAACAAATAAAAACTTATATATATATATATATATGCATAGAAATTAATCACATTTATAATTAATTTTGTGATCAATTTTCATGCACGTAAAAGTATTGGGTTGTAATAGTTTCTCCATAATGTTATATATCAAGGAGACCTACGAGAGTTCTTGTTCGTTTAATCTTGCGAGCTTTTGTGTGCGCGGTCTATTTTTTCAGTTCATATCATTATGTATGTTTGAATATTTAATTATCGAATATAAATTAATTATTTGGATATTAATTAATTATTTAGAACTGGATTTTTATTCAATAATCAATATCTAAACTATTAGTTTTTTTTTAGTGACGTAAAATTAATTTAAACTACGAAATTTTACGGTGTACAAATAAAAGTTCCGTTTCTTCATGACTATACCTTTTTTGGTAAATTACAAAACAGTACCTCCCAAGAGGAGCTACATGCAAAGGAAAACGGAATTTAAAAATTAGGAAAATATAAAATAAATCTTTCTTTTTTACATTACATTTTTATTACATTCTATTATCATTATTCTGTGTCTATTTGAGACTTTTCTAAAATTGAGATTTCAACGTAGGAGAATTTAAATGGCCAGTAAAATTTATCATAGGTCTCGTTTTGATGATTTAAATTTTTTATTTTATAAGATTTTTAATATATGTTTTTTATGAAAAAATTTAAGACGATCCAATAATCGTAACTTTTTCATTTTGTCGCATATGACTTTGAAAAAATAGATGTTCAATTTCGAAAATATATTTGCCATCTATTTTTTCAAAAACAAATGTAATAAAACAAAAAAATTATGATTATTAAATCTAACTAATTTTTTTATAAATATTATACATTGATAATTCTACAAAATAAATGATTTAAATAAAATAAATGATTTAAATCATTGAAACGGAATTCATAATGAACGTTATACGTCCCTCAAATTTTCTCATATTGAAATCTCAATAGGGAAGAAATCCAATTCTTTCAATTTTATATTAAGTTTTTTGATGTTTTTATAAAAATAAATAAACTAATTTTATAAAAATGAAGGGAAATTTTTTTAAAGTTTTTGCTATTAAAATTTTATAAAATAATGAATATATAATATTTTTTTAATTTTATTTATTTATTTATTTATTTAATTTCGCTATGTTTTGAGATCTCTGACGAAAACGTTTCAAATCTTCGCCATCTTCGCCATGATTTCGTTTTCAGTGCATTGATGGACCATCTGAATTTCTCCCGATTTCCGAGATGATAGGGATCCTTTGCTTGACGCTCCAATTTACGGGTCATTCTATTTACACACCACCCTCTCTCTCAAGGCAAACCATTAATTATTTTATTTTTTATTACAATTTTAACTTAAAGTAAAATGACTATGGAGGACAAGTTATGACACACACCATTTGTGTATTTATATCTGTTCAACAAACTACAATCCAATTATTTGACAAACTACAATCGAAAAACTTACATTTGTTCAACTGTCTAAAACCAAACAACTTGCACTTGTTTGGATTACTAAGGTCTAACTTATCATCACTTGATCGGTTGATTACCTTCTTCCTTTAGAATTTTATTGATTGTAGAAACATCCAACCTTGCTGATGCTTGCTTCACCCAGTTGACCACCCTCTCCGCTTCCTGCACGACTTTCTCTTCTTCTACCATCGCCACCTTCAATCTCCGCTCTTGCTCTTTCACTGAAAACGTGCTCATATCCGACAACATCTCTTCATTGTTTCCCCACTCAGTACTGCTGCTGCCTTTGATATCAAGACCAGAAACATCATCGTCACCTTTTCTCTTCTTTTTGTTGGAAAAGCAAAAGCAAAAAAAGCTTGATCTTTCACTCTTTTGATTTGAGCTCTTGCAATATTGTAGAACAAACCTCAAATTGATCCAACTGTTTCGCACCAAAGGGTTTGAGAGGAGATGGGTTGATTCCTAGTCTGTGAGGGTGTGTGAGTGAGTGAGGGTAAATATGGGAGTTTGTGTGTATATTGTTATGGATGGGTGTGTGAGTAAAGATAAATATGTAAATTTGTGGTGTGTGATGAGCAAAATATATATTCACTAAATTATTAAAGGTGTATTTTTAGAAGTGGTTTGCCTTGAGATAAATTATGGTGTGTAAATAGAGGCACTCCAATTTACTTACTGTTTGGTTAGCTCTCTTTTTTCCGTCTTTTTATGTACATTGTGTATCTAATATCTATCCACATTGGTTTTTGAATCAGTTTTTAATCTGGGGCTTTTCCCAAACTTAAGTTTGATTTGGTAAGTGTAAAAAAGATAAAAAAAATTATCATTATTTATTAAAAAAATATTAAAAAATTAATTTTATACATAAAATTAAAAGTTAGTTTGACCGGTTCAGACTTGTGGCTATGTTTTCAAAGAAAAATTGCACAGTTGGGGTGTAATTTTAACACACTGTTGTTTGGTCGTGGAGGTTCATCATGGGTCCCTTTTTGATAATCTGAACCATTCAATGTGTAAAACTCGTCGAATACTATATGTCTGTAAAAAAATTACATTGATTGGATATCACTAACTAGATGATCAAATCAGTTTTGTATAAAAAAATGGATGGTGTTATAGTTAACGGTTGAAAAAAAAACTAATCTGATCAGATAGTTATCGATATTCGACCAACGTGATTTTTTACAAGCATATAGTACTCGATGAGTTCTACATATTAAACAGTTCAGATTATCAAAACGGGGCCGAACAACACTCTCTAATGCAATGCCCGAAAGTAGCCAATCATTTTCTTAGCATTAATTCAGCTGCGCAGATAGTATGACCATACAACTCACACTCATAATCTTCTCCTATACACTAATTTATATAATTTTTTAATACATATTTTTTCATAAAAAATCAAAAAGTTAACCCAAACAACCATCTTTTTTTTCTTAACTTTTTGTTTCAAAAAGTCAAAAAGTGTACTTATTTAGGACACCCCAAACAACCCCTTAGTTCTATATTAATTTACTTTTCAAACTAAGTCTAGTTTGATCGAATTTTTCAAACTAAGGGGTTATTTAGGGTGTCCTCAATAAGTACATTTTTTGTCTTTTTGGACTAAAAAGTTAAAAAAAAAATATAAATGTTTGGGTTAACTTTTTAAATTTTTACGAAAAAATGTGTATTAAAAAATTGTATAAATAAGTATGTAGGAGAAGATAGTGGATTAGGCCGTGCAGGTTGGGTAGGTAAGGGGTTAGTTATGAGATGGGAAATGATTGCCTCATTTTCGAGCTTGAATTTGACAGTGTTGTTCAGCCCGTGAGAGCCCATCACAGATCCCATTTTGCTAATCGGAAAGTCAATGTGTAGAATTCATCGAGTACTATATGCTTGTAAAAAATCACGTTGATTAGATATCGATAGCTATCTGATCGTGTTAATTTTTTTTTTTGTCAACTGTTAAATATAACACCATCTATTTTTTTATACAAAACTGATTTGATCATGTAGTTAGCGATATCCAATCAACGTGATTTTTTACAGGCATATAATTTTAGACGAGTTCTACATATTAACGGTTTGGATTATTAAAACAGGACCCGTGGCGGGCCCCCACGGGCCCAACATTACCATCCAACTTAGTGATTTTATATACGTAATTTTTTTTCCCCTGTCCACGGTACTAAAGGGGTCAATTCAGCCCCGAAAAATGTGTAACGTTGGTTTGATTAAAATATTATGTATATTAATTTTTTAATATTTTTAATTTATAAATAGGGATAACTTTTTTATTTTGTTTTAACTTTTTGACTTTTTAAATTTTTTGGAACACCCTGTCTTAAAAATATAATAATATGATTAAGTATTTCTTTTTTTAAAATTTCTTTATTTTGTCCTTAAAAGTCTAATTTTTATAGACAAATTATTTTTGTTCCTAAAATTTTGTCTTTAAAACCTTGATTTCTTGTAGTGCCCCCTCATTATTTTTAAAATGAGACCAATATTAAATATATATATATATAATAATAATAAATAATAATTACTCTGTTTGGTTTGGTTTGGTTTGGTTATATTTTGTAAATAAATTATTTTTTATATTATTAGTCTCATTTTAAAGATAATCAAACCAAATAGAGTAATTGTTATTTTTTATAGACCAATATCAAATATATGTAACAATAATTTATAATAATACATAATAATCAAATCAAACAAAGTGATTTGATTATTATGGCCCACACTTTTCACATGAACTGACCTAGCGAATTTCCATAATTATACCATTTTCAAAACTTTATTCCCACTCTAGAGTGGGTGTTTATCTTTATTCCCATTCTTGGGTGAAACGGCTTTTCCAGTGCCCTTTTTGTTGAATAAAAAAAGATAATTTTTTTTTTGCATAAAACCGGCTTTTGAAAAGCCGTTTTTACATAATTTGTAATTATTTCTCATTAATTTAAAATGGTTTTGCTAAACCCCTTTTGTGCCAAATATTTTTTGTTTTTAAATTTTTAATTTTGAAGATAAATATTTATATTGAAAATATATTTCAAACATGAAACGGTTATAGGAAAACCATTTTACAATACGACTTTAGCAAAGCCATTTTTAAAAAAATGTTTGTTTTTTTTGGTTTGTCAGTGTTGGTTTTGGTTGAATACACGTTTTTGCCCTGCTCCCCAGTCCAACACACACAAACGAAGCTGAAGAGAGACGAAGAGAGTGCACAGCGAAGGAGAGTAATCACTTTTTTGGTTATTACTATTGAACAGATGAATGAGTTCAGAGATCTTGTTTGTTCCCTTAAATATTTGTTGCCAAGAAATATTTAAATAAAACTTTACACAGCATATACAAAGTATCTAATTTGTTAATTACTACTACGAACAGGGAAACAAAATAAAGGTTTGACTATAACAGTTATTACACTTTAGAATGGCGTAACTAGTTCAAAGATAAGTATCCCACAAAAATAATTTGTGGAAACATTTAACATAACATAGTATATAAAATATAGCAATGAGTATAATACTTAACAGTTACATAGACAAATATTAGACAAACCTTTCATAAACTCATTGCCGGAAGAGTTATTTTAACACACACAGTACATAATTATGGATAACAACATATAATTTAGTAGACAGATAGGTTTCTAATCCTCGCTCAAATCGGCAATCTCAG